ATTTAGTCTCTGGAGAATTTGCTAGAGCTCCCCAGGAACATGTTAAACCATATTAAAATACGTTTATTTGTGTCACTATGGAAATTTCCACTTTAGTTTTACATACCAAAGAAAAGCACTTGCTATACAATTAGTTCATGTTGAAAGGTTATTTACATGTTGCAAATGAGTATTAATCCTGTGTCTTTATACGAACATATTATGTGAAGCCCTTTTTGATTATTTTGAGATACAGTCTCACCAAGTTCAAACTTGTAATCTTCCTGCCTCAGTCTTTATGTATTGAGCTATCATATATGCTTACTTCTGAAACATAGTAAAGAAATAAAATGGTGATATCAAGACATCAGGAGTCAATATACAAAACTTGTCAGTGCCACAAGGATACCATGTTTCTCTTGCCCAAGTGAACCGCTGCTGGTTTTAAAATCTGATTGTAATGGAGAAGTCCACAGGAGCACCTAGAATTAACGTGATATTCATCAGCTTGTGAGGCAGACTGTGATCCTACTATGCTCTCACTTACAAGCTACATAACAAGGCCAACCTTCCAGCCCCTTTATTCACCTTCCCCTAAAGATTTCAAGGCAAGGCATCGAGATCACGCAAGTCATAAATCATGTGCTTACCTTCATGTGACTAGTATTCCATACAGTCAGACTTTTGTTTGCCTGCTGGAGGGATATATTATGTTACTGAAATACAGAAATGGCTGCTCTGCACACCAGTGGTTAGTAAAACTCCCAAGATGTAACCTTATCTTCTCAATTGATTTGAGGAAAGAATGTTCATAAAACATATACTGCTTTTGGTTAGGGGCTGATTTCTAAATAAATAGACTCAGTTATGGAAACTCTAGAAACAGGCAAAACAAAACATGCATTCATAAATGTATGTTTTAAAATCAACCCTCTCACAATGTTTGCCTTTTGTAAGCTTTTCAAGATTGTAAAATCAGTTACACGAAGTTTATGATTTATAGTTGTTGTAACTTAACTTCTCTTTCAGTCAGCGACGGAAAAATCTTAACTCCTCTGGAATATTTCTGCTCTGTTTTGCAGACTGCTATGCTTCTTTCCCTGGAAAGGCCCTTCCTTACCATGATTAGAAAGCACCCATTTGTTTTGCAAGTCAGACAAAAGAAGAAAAGTGGAAGTCTTTCCTACAGCAAATCTCCTATTCCTCTGGGCTCTAACAAACTAGGAAACACTGCAGATTAGAGGACTGCATTGCCTCCAACAACATAAAACTGTGCTAATCCACAAAACACAATGCTAATCTAAGTGAGGTTGTCATCTTTAATTCACAGTGAACTGAGGTCAACTAGATTTTTATCAGAGCTATAAACTGGGAAGCAAAAAACAGCGAGAAACATCACAGTTTGGTTGGATCCTGCTTTGAACACAAGACTGTATGATCCACCGTTGCACAGGGTGCTTCCGGAAAATTAGAAGACCAAAAATAAGCAAGGAAATGTGGTTTGCCCCAGTGTTCATATTTATTTCAAAAAGAGTAATGTAATCTGATTTATAGGCATAGTACAGCTACACAAATGTTAACATTGCACTGTTTTCCATTTAAAGTCCTAAATAATTATGAGAAAACTTGATCAGAGATCACTGGCATACTAATTAGCTTTGCTTACTTTTTTAACAGTTAGCTTAGTGGCCTATTACAAGCCACTCAAACCAAATAGTACATATATATATCAGTCCCTATCTTCAAAGCTTATACTCTATCTAGCGAAAGATCCAATATGTGAACTAACAAATAATGCAGATAACATTTCAGTACAAAACCTACAACAAAGCCAGGTGTGGTAGTGTACACCATTAATCCCAGCACTCAGGAGAATAAGGCAGGAGGATTGAAGCAAGTCCAATGCCAGCCTGGGCTACATGGTGAGTTAAGACCAGCTTGAACTGTATGGTGAGACCCTGTCTCAAAAAAATGTAATAAAATAAAGTAAAATAAAATAAAATCTATGACTGAACACCAAATAATTGACATTTGAATAGCAGGTAATATAAGCATTATAAAAATACAGTAGGGGAAGATGCCCTGTTAAGCTGACAATATGCTTTTTGTATGAAGTGGGATACAAATCAGGGTTTTATTCACTGTAATCACAAAGTAATATGCTTAACCTCTGCGAGACTTGATTTCATCATCAATAAAAGGATGAAAATGATGGCTTGATTATAGGGTTACTATAAGAAACTAATACATTATATGTGAAAGGATTTTTGTAAACTGCAAAGAAGCTATAAAATGACCACTGAGAAACTATTAAAAGGAATTACATTATTAATTTGTATAGGTAGAAAGGGTTGTCAGTTTGGAAGGGACTATAATCAACTTATGTTTCCATACTTCTTTGTTGTTGGAACTTTTTTAATACCGATGTATTAATCTTGTTACAAAATAATATTAAAGCTATAAAAATATTAGCTGAAGTATGCATTTCCGAATATCACAAATTGTATGTAAACCCTAGTAATACTGCTGCTGCATTGGTACAAAAAACAAGTCTCAGTCCTGGAACCAATTTGAGAATTTCTAAAGTCATAAAAATTTGCCACGTTTGGAAATAATAATCAACTAAAGCAGAGGTTTTTGCACACATTTTTAAAATAGAGCAAATTCCATAGTCACTCAAAGTAATCCATTGATTCAATAATGACTTTACCGATGGCTTTTGAAATTAGTAAGTTAAGAAACTTTAGATCGTTAAAGTCAAGTCTTTGACATGTGCAGTGCTGCTTTCTAGGGTCCAGTACATTCCAGGCATTCAACTGATAACTTCTCAGACAGTAAAAATTCTTCAAGCCAACTCCAGATCAATGCCAAGGACTTTCCATGAGTGCATGGTAGACCTTTCACACTGAATCTGATCACAAGTTGCTAACATAAGTGAGGGCAGAGCTCAGATCATCTTACTCTGGTATGCCTAGTCCTTGGTACGTTACCAACCTATGAGTAGGCAAGAACAAATACTTCCTGAACTACTCTGGAGGAAAGATAATTCTAAAAGTATTAGTCAACTGGAAGCCCAAAGAGCCAGGCACACATGCTAAGGCAAATGGAACCTTTATAACTGTTTCTGGAGAAAATCGCTTAAGATGATTCACTCAAGGGGTTTAGCTCAGTGGCGCAGTGCCTGCCTGGAAAGTGCGATGTCCTAAGTTCAGTTACTGGTACCCCCTCCCAAAAAACACAGATGACTCAAAAGCCTCAAAGACAAGTGTAAATAAAAGTGCCTTGAGCATGAAAGCTTCATGTACCATAGGCAGAACCATTTGAGATGACACAGTGTATAAACCAAGATGAAATCATAGCACACTCCAATCAGAATCCCCTTCCACTTGCTTCAACAAAAATTTCCAAAACTTGTCTGCTGATATAAACAGAAACACAAAGAAAAAATATTTTATCTTTGTGTGTATGTGTGTGTGTGTGTGTGTGTGTGTGTGACTGAATCCAGGATTTCAAAATGAACTACACCGCCAGCCATTTGTATGTTGGCTTGTTTGTTTGTATAGAAACATAGTCTGGCTGAATTGTCCAGGTACGTCTCAAACTTGTGATCCTCCTCTGTCAGCCTCTCCAAGGCCTACCACTGTGGGTGTACACCACTCCCCCTCAGCTCTGATTGGTGCCCCTGCAAGGGTGGATTGCTGGTGGACTACTGACTCACAGCTTCTCTACGATGATTTAATGAATAAATGCATAGATACTTAAGACAGATGGAATTAGTATCCACATGTAAAAAGACTACTAGATCGTATTTAACCACAGTTACACTTATTCCAATGTTCTATGGGGAAAAGAAAGTTGAGCTGTACTGGCTTTCTCAAGCAAAGTTTACAGTGATATGAAGTAATTTCTGTGATTTCCATTGGTGACTTTAAATCTACGAATGACACGATTCCCACTAATTTTATTGTTCCATCCTAAGTGTCAAGATAACTCGTTTTCACCATATTTAATCTCCCTCACAAGGTAACCAGGCCTTGTAATCATTTTTGAACTCTTGGTGGTATGTTAATTTACAATAAACCATTTTATTAAAACCAAATGCTTTCGACCGGTTCTCACTTGAAGTATTTTAAAACATTCCACCCAATGTATATAAAAGAGGTATGTTTTTCTACTTCTGAAAAGCACTGCAGAAGGCCAGTAGAAATCAAATGCTTTGGCTGCAGTTCTTAAAACAATGCTACATTTCTTAGTTTGGTCAGTCGAACTAAATTTGGAAGCCACCTAAAACTTTTCTCACATTGTGATCTGTCTGGAGGACCAATTAATCAAACTCTTGTTTGAAGCAACTCTAACACTAATCAGAGATCTGTGGAGGGAAAGTCAGAGAACTTCCCTTTCACAAAAATCAACAATATTATAATGGAAAATAGAAAAAACACAGGGAGAAAAGCCGGTGTTAGGGCGCTAACACCTTGTAACGTTTGGTCAAGCCCACACTTGGCAAATTTCAACAGATTTACTTACCTAGGGCTAAAACTAAGCAACAGAATACCACGCAAACAAAACAAAAGCACTAAAACAGAGTCAGGAATCACCAGTGAAAAACAGTTACACCTAACAGCGTGCATCTGCCAGAGGCAATTTGTTAGGAGATCAGAGTCATCACTGCATTGTGGTTGCCTGAAATCAAAACTTTAAAGTTTCTTTAGGTAAAGCTATAGCACAGCATTCAAAGAGCCAGCCAAAATAGCTGAGGGAAACTAGGAAGGCCACATGTGGAACTAATTACTCATGCAGAGGCCATGACAAAGAACATTTCTCCAGACTTTTCATGGGGGCTTCACTTTCAGGAAGTTGCTATAATTACTGCTCAAGTCTAGAGCAGCCTGCAAGCCGCTGACAGATCCAACAGACGAGGAGGAGGAGGGAAAGAGGGGGGAAAAATAACAAAACTTATCTGCCCTTTCTGACGAGTGAAACACCAGAAAATAAAGTACCGCGGGAAAGCTCCAAAAAGATTTCCAAATGAGCTCTGCCTTCCAGTGTTCAACTTTCTGTTTACTATTTTATCTCCTCTCTATCTTCAAATGACTTCTCTAGCCTGGATCAGACGGCGAATTTGTACAGCTACTCTTAACTCACTTTCAGTTGGCCACAGCAGAACTGTACATCTTGACTCTTTTTTTTACAGCTTTTCCATACTGGGGCCCACTTCCTGCCCAGTTGAGGAAAAAAATCTGGCCTGAAGATGAAATGACTGCTTAACATTACACGAGAACATCTGGTACCATTTTATGCACAGACCCATGTCTGAGAGCAGGCGATTCCAGCGGTCTCTCCAGCGGCACAGCACATACCCAAACCTCCCCAGGGTGACATCATCCTATATATGGACTCTCCAGCCCAGCCCTCCCCCTTTTCCTGGTCCTAAATTCATTGCCAGTTCCCTAGTCTGCAGCAAATGTGCCACGTCAAGACTGGAAATCACAGCCCTTGAGTGCGTCTCAGTCAGTGCGGCCGAATTCAGGGGGGAAAGCTGAATCCACCCCTGGTGCAGGAAGGGAGGCTCTTCCCAGGACTGGGAGAGGATTTTAAGTCCACAGCTGGAAGCTTCTGGAGATCCTGCTCCGTCGCCCCAGTGTTCAGACTACCTGTTCAGGACAATGCCGTTGTACAGTAGTCTGCACATTGGTTAGACTGGGCAAGGGACAGCAACGCCATGAACTGCTGGGGACAAAATTTGCTGTTTCCAAGGAGAAGACATTGGTTTGCTCCTCTGTTGAATCTCACACCCAGTGTTTCTCTTCACAGGTTTTGCACGCTAGGGATCAAGAAGTGCTCAGGGACACTGCTGAGAACGGACCACTCGAGGGAAAACCTGCGGGTAAGGCCTTGGTGACTGCTCACCTGGTCTGTGACCATGGGAACCGAGGTAGGGGTCCCATGTGTGACAGACTGCCATGTGTTGAATTTTTAAATGCAATGATGTATATAGTATGTAGTGACTTACTGTATGCTTTATTATTTCTAAACATTGGTGATTCCGAGTGTCTTAAGTTTAAAGGCTTTTCCACTTAAAAATGAAATGTGAAAAAACTCACTATGAACACTTAAGAATAACTCAACAAGACTAGTATTGAATTGCTGAAATTAATAATTCAGAGACTAGTATTATAAATGAAGGTTAAATGCATAACTTTGGGCATTTGGGGATTGAATGAATTTTGCCCCAAACTAAAGAATACCTGATAGTTTCAAAATTCCATATGAGTAGAATTTTTCTAAATATTTACTTACATAATATAAATATCAGGAATAACAGTTCCTAACAATAAACGACGAGCCTGCCAAGTTTTGCCCACCAGACAATACAGATGGGACTTTTGCCCAGAAATGAGTACCAACCCACAACTAACTGAGTCAGCAACTAAATAAATCAGAGACTAAAGCCTCTGTCGGTAGATACCATAATACATATCTCTGCATGACTTTTTTTTTAATTGTTGACGAACTGCTGGTCTGCTGAAACGTCTTGCCTCTTACATTTTACAAGGCTTCTATGTCTCCCAGCATTTAAGATGATAAAGTACTTTGTCTAGAAACTTACTGATAAAAAAAAGGAATTTGTAAATGAAAGGCAGAAGTTTTCTTTGGTCAATTTCCAGCAGTCTCGGAGGTGAAGGAGGGTGGGAGAGGGGGAGGAAGGTAGGAGGGAAGAAAATCCTCAAACTGAATGAAATCCTGAAGAGAAAAATAGGGAAGGCTGGACTGCAATGTGATCTGTGTGATCCGTGCTGAACTTTAGAGGTGGGTCTCTTAAAGAAAGTTCTGGAACAATGTTACTGACTCACCTCTCACCCCTTCGACTGCCATTTATTTCTACCATAAAATCTTTCTGTGAAATGGAAACATATGTTCTTCTACAGGCTTTTGTGGAAAGTAAATGTAATCCCTTTGTTCTGAGCAAATAATTTTCTATTTTTATATTTTACAACAGTTAAAAACTGACACAGGTTCCATTTTGCAAAACATTTCATTTCAAAAGGTTCCCCAAGTTTTTTGTTTGTCAAAACAACTTAAAATTTATCTTTCAGATCATCCTGCAACTGGTTGGTGTAAGGAACACCCAAGTTTTTTCATCTACTTATAGTTTTTAGTTAAAATAGAAGCAGCCAGTAGAAATTTAGCTATTTTTCACTTAGTTGATATGCTAAAGCCATCTTTTATCTTCTCTTATGACTCAGAGATTCCCAAATTAATTATTTTAATAGAACATTTGAGACTTTTAAAACCTGTACTGTTGCTTTTACATAGAAAAGCATAAAAAAAAATTAGGTGATTTATGAGAGTTTGTTTCCAACAATTTTAATTTACACAATCACTAACAGGGGAAGATACCAACAAAGTACTTTGGCAATATATAAGATTTCTCAAATTTTGTGGTTTTTACTTTTTACTCTAGAAACAAATGAATTTAATAATTTGCTTTCATCTAATGTATTTTTAAGTTAAATTTTTTTATAAATAGCCTTTTATTTTTTCAGGGAAACTAACCTAGGAGCCTCTCACTTATTTTACTTTGGGGCTAACTTCTAGATACAAGTGTGTCATTGGCTTACATCCAAGAGCAAAAACACAAAATTTACTTTGTAAAGGGGTAACCAAGGAGAACTATTTGTGAGACAAATTTTTAACAAATGAAAAGGGGTAGTACTGTATTTTAAATCATGTATGCTAAATTAAAGATCAATCAAAAGTAAAAGATCATTTTATAAACTACTGCTAAACGAAGTCAAAAAGGCACTCTACGCACTGGTACACATACCAACATTTATAGACACATTATGTTAAAATAATAACTGTATCTGTTTCCAGGGTGATTAGAATAATGCTTAACATTATTTTGATATTACTTTATAAGGAGATATACAAATATTTTAGGGATCGTGGCATCTATTCCAGAGGAAATTAACCAACTGTGAGCATCTTCAACTAAAACTGTCCTGGATATAACGGTAAGTGTGTTAAAATTAAACATCATGGTCATAAAGAAAAATCTATTGGCAGGATCTGTCCAAATTGCATTTCAGAGAAATTTAATAGTTTCCATTTTAATGTGTGGATGATCAATGATCAATTAATTAAGTACTGCGTTAAAAGAATTTTTTCCGCTACCTAAGAAAAAGGAAATTCAAACCCACCATTCAGTAACTGAAAGAAGATCAATATAAAACAGTTCACTGAAATTTTAAAATGTTTCTGTAAAGCCATGGATCTCAAAATAAGACGGTTTGTTTACAATGGGCAAAGTTTCACACTGATCACTTTCCTGCAATTAGTCAATAGGCATAATATCCTTCCTGCTTGGCATTCGAGCTTTCCGCTCAGATAATATGTTTATGTTTTTAAAAGACCAAAATATACTATCTACCTCCACCTCTGGCCTACAGACCACCCAAACATTTCATCCTGTGGGAAGGATTTTAGATATAAAATCCTAATGAAAGAAATTTTTCCCTTTTTTTTGTTTTGTTTTTGTTTTAGGGGTTGAAATTTCAAACAGAGGAAAAGAAAGTACAGTTTGGTTAAGTAAAAAAAATCAAAAAAAAAAAAAAAAAAACCCCACGCATTCACACAAATCTTCAATTGAAGCCAAAGCATTCAATTATTTATAAGGAATCTGTTCTTTTAAAACAACTCCTCTTACTCTAAGGGGACTAGCCCACCCATCCAGTAATGGCCAAATAATAACTAAGAGACCATCACTCACAAATCCCAGCTTAAAATAACTGGAAGGTCAGGGAAATGCCTGAGTTAAGATTGAAACTTTCTTCAAATTCCTCTATCCTTTGGTGTCCCGCATATTACATAGATATAAATGTTTAGGACTTTTTCAAAGGTCTCCGGTTAAGAAAAAGTCTTACATCAGTTTAATAAAGAGGGCTAATGGAGGAAATTAAAAAAAAATAATTGAAACTTCAATTTGAATTTTCTGTGTATGGTGACACTCTATTTCCTGGAATTGCTTTGTTGTAATTTTACTGTAGAATGTTTAGAAGAAACTTCTCTTCTTGCACTTTTCTTTAAAAAGTAAAAGACAAAAAGGAAATGAAGTGTAATAAAGATACTTTAAAAATTACAGAAATTGATAATAATGTAATGGCTCTTTCATATTTTGACTGGGAATTTAAGAGTAAAGTAATATTTATCCTAACATTTGGGAGATAAAAAAAAAGTCAGAAATTTTTTCAGTCTTTCATCTTTTACCAACTTCGGGCAGGTTAAACGTAACTATGAAATATGCATATGCCACATGCATACTATAACTGTGTTTTAAAAATCAATCAGAAACATAAATCACACAAAAGCCTTACGAGTAGATAGTTTTTCTTATTTTTCAGTCAGACTTTTTTCAACTTGAAAAACTGCTATGATTGATTTTTCAGGCTCAAAGGTTTTTGTATATATTGGTATAATAAAACTGTTTCAAATTAAAGGATAACATATGAACTCACAAATGTTTCTTTTTATTTTTTCAGGTTGCATGCACCATTCCTTTAATTGAGCACAATAAACTGGATCAAATTTTTAATGGGAGAGCGAGGGAAAGTTATATAAAATATAGTAACTTTTAATTTCTACCAGTATGTTCTTTGTAAGTGAATATTTCTATAATTATTTTCTGTTGCACTGAATGCAACAATAATAGCTAAGATAGTGTTTTCAGGCATTTGTTCTTTGCATAATCTAACTTTGCAATTATTTATACAGCAGCCAAGTTTACTGATGTTTTTAATTCTGTGAAGGAAAAAAGTCTTCTACTCTGAAGTGATGAACAGGAACAGAATTGTTTACTTTTGAAATTAAATACCTAGAAATTGCATTTATCAATTCTTTGTCAAAGCTTTGCCATATCTAGTAACTGTATAAAAGTTCAGAATAGTAGAACTGTCATTTTTCAGTCCCTAAAAACTATTTTGTTCTCTACCAGGTTGCTTTGCTAGTCTCTTGAAATTTTATTAATATAACTAAAGATAAACAATAAGCTATTTCATTTATAACGGTCTTTGAAAAATTCCAAGTATACATTCTTTGAATAAGAAGTTTTACTCTTTGGAATTTTGCCTCTATGGATATTTTGTTTCTAAAAGGGATGTAAATTGTTAAATACCTTTACATGTTTGAATCAGTCATTTATGTTAAAAATAGCCAAAATCATTCTTGACTCCCCCAAATTTCATTTTATATATATATATGTAATATTATTAATTCTTCTTTACAATAAGAAAATTTTGCAAAGAGTCTGAATTTAGTTTTTGGATATGAAATAAGTTTTTCTTTTCAGTGTTTAAGGTTGTATTTTGTAACTGTACATACACTAATAATATCCAAAACACATTCAGAGCATCCCTGAAACAACTTTCCAGTTCACATCCGGTGGTTCATTTCATGACCCTGTAAGTTGATTAAGCAATGGAAAAATTAAGCTCACAACTGTCTTTTATTTGACTTCCACATCCATACTTAGGAACTATACATTTAAAAGAAAACTGAAAAGTTTAAATAAATTCCTGTTCAGATATAAAATCTCGCTATCAAAGAATCAGAAACCAAAGTCCACTGGTTCAGTTGCCAAATACATTATGCTCATTAATTATTCTGAAAATGGCTGCTGTTACCATGTAAATGACAATTTTCTTTTTCGAGAGCAAGGTTATAGTTCTTATCTACTACGAGAAACATGTATAAACATAGTCTTTATCTTTAGCTTCAGTATTAAAATATGCAGAGTTTTCGCAAAGAGGAAAAACATCTGGTTCAATTACTCTGAACTCTGACTGCATGGGGGCCAGTCATACTAGGAATTGGATTTGAGGGGAAAAAATCTTGTGTTTAATCTTTCTTCTTCCTTAAAATTTTAATGTGAGTTTTCTGTCATGCCAAATCTCCATGTTAGCACATTGGAACAAATGTATAAGTGTACTTTCTGAATAAAGTCCAACGTCTAACTTGTTTTTAGTTCCATAATGTTTTAATGTTTAATTCTGCTGTGTGTTTTTCTCCCTTTCCCCTCACCCTCCAAAATCACCTAATCTGGAAAACAGGCTGATTGTATCTGTCCATGAGCAAAGGAAACCTGAAGGAATCAAGGGCCTGGCTGGACAGAGTTGTCATGTGTCTGCCTGTCTACACTTGCTGTGCAGAACATCCGCTCACCTGTACAGCAGGCACAGACAGGCAGTCACATGACAACCCAGCCTGAATGACAACCAGCCATTGAAAGAAAGCAGTCCTCACACCATAGCATCCAAGAGCTACAACCAGAGTGAGGGGCCTGGGGGTCTGGGTTTTTAATCTGTTGGCTTAATACTTAACGCGTATGTATTCTTATTATTTTATTTTGATTCAAATATTAAAACCCACCAAAAGTAAAGTAAGTGGTGCCTATGAAATATAATAAAACCCATTTCTGAAAATGTTCCTGTGCTTTCTATAATTCTCTTTTCCTAATTGTTGTTAGCAAATCACTACCCTTGACATTTATTGTGTACATCTTTGAAGCTTCCCACAATTAATATTTTTAAATCAATATAACAAAACAGAACGTCAGTTTGATGTTTGACAAGGAATAAATTATTCCAATAATTCCAACCCATAAACTTAAGTATTGTTTTCTATATTGTGATTTTTTTTCTTCAGTGGGGAGCGGGTGAGGCATAGAATGAGAAGAAGAAAAAGGAGAAAAGGGTAAAATTCTAAAAGAACAGGTCTTTTAGGTTAAGACACCGACAGTCTTGTCTACATAAGGTACAGTGGAAAAAAGTATTTCCAGCATATTTGCAAGTTTATTGGAATAATTACTTCTTTTTTGATCAGTGGGAAGTTGAAATCGAAACATCAATCTTTTCAAATATTGTGATGTACATAGTGTTAGTACTTTTTCATTGTTTATGAAGGGACTTCTGCTATGGTTCGAGAGGAAGAATTTCCAAGTCCAGTATAGTCACTTCAAATACACACTTCCATTCACCATATTCATGTCTTAAGATGTTCAAGCAATTCAATACTTTCAAAAGCTTGAGGAAAGTACTTATTGGATATACATTGTACATTTTGCCACCTCTTTTGAGGAAATAAGTAAAATTTTAGCTTGTACACTGTCAAATAGAGTAAGATGACTGGGAATGGCTTTTGTGTGTTAATATTTCAACCACTAAAATATAAAAAATAGAAGAAGATAAAATCAGAAATTTATCAAATTTGACTTGGTTCATTGTAGTGTTAACTTTTACTATTTAAAATTAATTTTTACTTTTTTTAGTAAGATTCTGGTGAAAGTTAAAAATATAACACTACAGGACCCCAAACTGTTTTTTAAAATTTAATTATTACAAGTACATATTTTGAACTAAAGCACACTATTTTCCATTCAGATATTTCATTTTTGAAATTAAATATTTAGTTTTCATTCTAAGAGTTCCATATGTTTCAAATTTTCTGATTTTATGGTATCTGAATCAAATTTAACAGTATAATTTCCTTAAGAAAAACAAACTGAGCAATGGGCAAAACTATGCAGTGAAAATATGAGGAAAACAAAATATCTTACATTTAAACCATCTGAACTTAAAACAACACACTATCTACTAAAAGCCACGTCTGCTTCTGGAAGACTTATTATCCAATGCAAATTTCCATCTTAAATGAAGTACTATAAATAGCAAATAAATTCTCACACAATACTTGATGAAATGCAAATTTGAAACAGAAGGACAATATAAAAATGGAATATTTATATAATCCCACCCAATTTTAAGTGCTTTATACAACCTATAGCAAACTTTGCCTGCGGAGTTCACACGCAGAATCACTCCGCTGCACCCTGGAAAGCAGTCCCAGCATGGTGTGTGACAACTCTCAGGATGAATACAGGAGACTAGAACACCACAACTCAAAGGAAAGCCAAGGCAGGAGGCCGCCGAGTTATCCCAAAACAAGGCATCCAGGTTAACATGTCAAGGGATTCTTTTCGGTAAATCCTAAGGCTAAACATCTTTTTTAAAACACTTTTTTTAAATTTAGATCTCAAAAAATCATGAGAGAACGTTTTGTTTCATGTATATATATATAATATTATTTATATATTATGTATGTATGTATGTATGTGTATATATATATATATATATATATATATATATATATATTCATGAAATGAGACACCATTTTGCTTTCCTGGGATATGGTGTTTCCAGTATAAATTTTTTGGGTAGAACAAGCAATGCATATGCAAAAGGGGTTTGGATCTAAACATATTTTCAACAAATTTGAAATGGCATTTGATCTTATGATTTATTAAGTAAAACTTTTTTTCAAAATTGCAAATCTTTGGATGAAACTAGAACATGGAAATTAGTTTGCATGAAATAATATTGTATTTAAAAGTACAAAAATAGTATGTGAAAAAACATAACTATGAAGATGAATAATTTAAGTAATATAAATGGATTAAGGTTAAATACTTACTTGGATTTTTTGTAAAAATAACTAAGTTTTGGCTAAGTATATCTCAATAAAGAGTGTGAACAGCATTTACGGGGTGATGCCAACTTTCTTGGTCATAGGAAATACAAGATCTAGTAGGCAAAAAGAAAAGCACAATTTTGAAAGTATAAGTGAAAACGAAAAGAATCCTGAAATTCCAGTAACTTCTTGATCTTATAACTTTGACCATCCAAAGATATAGTTGTCACTTCGTCTCTTATTACCAAAGTTACACGTGTCATCTGTTATTGCTCCACAATAAAAACAAAACTAAGTAAATATCCCTATAAGGGAATTATATAATCTGCTTATCAAGCTAACCAAACAATCCAACCCACAAAAATGAGGCCTGTAATTTCTTAAGAGTCCAAAGAATGTCCTTATTTCAATGAAGGTTTTAGATTTTCTTCAATGGTATGAGGTTACTTCATTTCATTTTCCCTGGAAACATGGCTGTTGCTTGACTCCACTGTTCTAGGAGTATCCCGTATGATTTTAGGCATTGTGTTGAGATACAGAAACAGAGTATTGGCTAAGTGCTTTTATTATGCTTAAATTAGCAATCCCTTTTCTTCAGACATTTTCACTGTTAAAAGTTTGCACACAGCACACTTTTCACTGTTATTAAGGAAAAAATAAGGCTCTTTTCTTCTTGAATCAGAACATTCTAATTATATATTTTAAAGAAATGTTACACTTTTAAAAATTCTGATGTTAAAATATTAATATGAAATTATATATACTTAAAATCCTTTTGAAATAACAGTTTCTATTTTATTTCCATACTTGACCTTTTTTCTATATTCCCCCCAAGAGTTGTGAAAGATATATTCATGTGTGAAAATAACATTGAAAAATTTATTTTGGGCTTACATAATCTTTAGTCCAAGAAGTCACATACAGCTAGAGGATGAAAATGAACAATTCTAAGACAATCTATTGCTAAGAGTAATATTACTGTATAATTCAATAATTTAATTTAGGCATTTGATATGCCACATGGTAAATTATTATCCTGCATGTATTTACACGGTTACTCAAGGATACCTTCATCAATCAGTATTTGATGAGTGCCTTTTTCCAGTCTTGGTGTAAAAAAAAACCATAGCTCTCATGGCTCATGCTTGTGATTTAGTTTTCCTGATAATTTTCACCTTTTGAAAAAAGAAGCCAAAATACTGTTCTTGGCTCAGGAAAAAAAAAAAAAAAGCTAAAAATACCAATGACACACCCTTGTGGGGTGTCCACTGCTAAAAATTGCTATGCAGATGGACCTATAATATTTCATTCAAGGTTATTTTAATCACTATTTCTCTTCCAAATCATTAATAGAAAGATAAGTACTGCAATAACCTTGTTAGTATTTTGATAGAAATCAACAAAGCCGAAGTATAATGCATCTCAGATGGTAAAAGGATGTATAGGAATATCAAGTCTGCACGTCCAGCCTCTGCCCTCATCCCCTGGTCCCTTCTCACACACAGTGTCCCTTGACCACCATACGGGCCTCAGATGTACACATGAGCAAGTGACTTGAGAAAGATAAACCAGAAGGAGGTCCATAAAACCCCTGGTAATGTGCTCAGGGCCTTGGTGTAGGGAATTCTAGGTTTCAGGTTCAGCCACATACCTGGAAGCACAAAAAGGCTTCTGCAAATCCTTTCATGAATCTTACAAGCAGTCTAACTTTGTGAAAGGTGGCTGATCTATTTTTACATTATAGAAAGCTCCAATCTTAAAGCAATGTAGAGAATGAATACAGTCAAGCTGATAAATTAATTTTGACTATTATAACCACAGTGTATTACAAAGGCTCCCTGAAGACAACATAAGGAAACTTAAACATTGCCTGGGACATAGCAGGAAACTTTTCTATTAAGGTCATGTGTCAGCATCAGTACAAATGACATTCATATCCTGTATTGTACCTTTTCAAAAAAAAAAAGTCCAGTCCACAGACACTTGAAGGCATTCATGCATCCATCTAAAGTTCCATAATAGGATGGACAGATTCATTTCAGATGGTAAGAAATTAAAATGGCAAAGATGGCCTCACTACTATAGCCGTATCAATTTCAGTTAAAATTATTACTCAGGGTTCTCACGCTATTATCTCTGCCATATTGGATAGGAAAAAAAACACTTTGAAAATACCATCCATAATTCTTGGTTAAGGTATAAGAGAACACATATTGATAGAAGCAAGATCCACTGACAAAATGGGATCTGAATTTCTCCTTGTTTTCTGAACCTTACCATCTATCTTCTGCTAAGAAAATCAAATCCCATGTATCTCATCTTTCAAAGGTTGATACAGCACTGGCACTTTGTCATAGTAAAACCATGTCCACAAGTACCTTTCCATGGCACCAGGCATGTGATTTATAGAGTCCTGTGTTCAGTTAATTCCCCCATGAGAAGCAGTTTGAGCTATTGTTTGTTAATCACCAATATAGTTCATACATCACTTACAATTATAACAAATCTGTCAAAAATCAAGTAAGGACCAAAGTAGATGATATATGTAGGGATGTAGGGAAAAACTGTTCAGATGGGAGTGGGAACAAGGTGGGAAAAGAAGGGAAAAGGTAATGGAAAGAAAAAATGAAAACAAAGCTTTTGTAAATAAGGAAAGTGAAAAATGTGGAAAGGAGGGGAGGAGAATGGAAAAAAGAATCAAGATATATTATGTGTAAGTACAAATTCCTTAGAATAAATGTGACCATTATGTATACAAAAAGTGTATCAATAAAATTAACTTTAAAAATAAAAATTAAATTTAAAAGCATCCAAAAAAGTTAAATAAAACCACATATACATATTCATAGACATAAATGTTATTTATTAAGTAGGCATTCACATTATAATGAAGATATACCAGGTTAATTATATAAAAGAGTAAAGGATGTTAGAACACAAAAACTCTCTATAACTCTCTAAGTTTAAGTATAAATTTATTATTGAATAAATCAATGTACAGCTAGCTTGGCGGCATTTCCCATGTCACCTTTTCTTCACTAAGAAAGATAAATTGTCATATGCTGGATTTCCAAAGTATGTAAGTGCTGATACATGTATAGGAAAAAAATACACTCAACTTATCAAATTATTGGCTCTAAAAGTTAAGTTAGAATTCTAGTTTATTTTCACAGATGTGTCCTCTGGACTTGGGGTTTTAAGATTGTCCACAGAGGCATGTTTCATCCACATGTAGTAAACTATGAGAGCATCATTTAAAGTATTGCTGCTCACAAGAGAGTGCTGTGCAAACCTAACAGGCCAGGAATGGATCACTCCTCTGAGACCCACCTTCCTGAGAGTCTCTGCTTGATCTTCTTTTCCCATATTCTCCTCCCAGTTTTGGCTACAGCACACCTAATAACTACTTGTTAAATACTACAAAGACCAAGGACAGTGCTATAGGTTGGAAGCAGTCTCTGGAAGCAGGAAACTGCCATGAGCAGCACACGAAACTGGGTAGAGAATTTCAGTGGCCATAGCCAATGGCAAGGTGGGCATGAATAATGCCAGCTCCAGCAGAAATGGGTTCTGTCCAACTGCTACAGACAACTCCAAGATTGTAGCCATTGTTGAGTGAGGCATTTTTATTTTGAAGCTCCCTATCTTGTTTCATGAGTGTAGCTATGAGTGAGTAACCACAGCAAGTGGCTGGAATGTAATTTATGTAGCACATAGACCTGCCATCCTCAATTTGAACACCCCTCACATTGTTTTTTGCAGCACAAGCCACCACCATCTCTTATTGGAGCTCTGCTCCCATTCTCTAGTGGTCTCCCTTCTTCTATTCTTGCCAATCCCACCTTTTCCATACATATATTCCACCCCACACATCATGTACAACTAGGCAGTCTGGAAGAACTTTCTAAGACACAATTCTAATCACGCCATGCCGTGTTGGAGCACCCCGGTGGTTTTCAGTTATCCTTGGAATAAAATTCAAATCACCAAGTGGGAACTTCAATCCCTCCCCATATACACACCTGCTGCCCCTGACTTTATTTCCTACTGCTTTATGCATTTAGGTAACACTCTTAAGTTCTTATTTCTGGGATGTTTATACTTACTGATCCCTTACTGGAATATTCTTCGACAAAATCTTCCTCCCAGCTCATCATCCTAGTTTTCTGCTCACACATTACTTCTTTCTAATCATCCAATCTAAAATGCTCTTCCCCATCATTCTCTCACTTATTAGTCTACTTTCTTTTTTTCAAAGCATTTAGTAGCTGATACAATATTATTAGTCCATTTGGTTGTTCATTCCATAAAGCAGCAATTTTGTCTATCTTTTCCTATTTTTTTGACATGATCTAAAATAAACTACTCTTTTCTACAAAAACAATTTTATTTCTAGGGCAATTCTTATTCTCCTCTGCTCGTAACCATCCTCCACACACATAGCTGTGATAAAATGTTCGCAGGTGATACTATAACTGCACACAGTTGTTTTCTATGTTAGACTCATGAGGGAAGCTCAGTAGCCATAATTTTGTGGGAAGTTTTTGCAGAGAGGAAGAGATGGCCAGCAACATGAGCTCGTCATGTTCTCAAGGGTTCTTTCTTCTCTACAGGGGACATCAGGCACTTATGGGCTTCTAAAGTGCTTATTTCAGGCCCCCCACAGCCAGGCAAGAGAGCCCTACAGCTCTACTCCAAAAACAGTAGCTACTCTGGAGTCTCCAGAGCCCTTGGTGGTAATATTCAGGAACAGATCAATGCTGAGATACTCGGATATCATCCTCATAAACCCTTTGTGGGATGACGATATCTTGTACAACCGCTGGCATTACTGGGGTTGTGGACCCACATTTGTGGTTGTAAACACAAGTTCTGGAGCTGGACAGCCTGGATTCAGTTTTCTGCTTTGCCGTTACTGGCTGTGTGGTCCTGAGTAATGAGCTGTCCTCACCAATACTAAGTATTCTGCAGTAGGAAGAATGGTATCCTATAGAAATAACTTTCCAAAAGGTTAAATGTTGTGGTTTTGGTTGGCATGTATTTATTTTTCTACTCTGCATAATGATAGTAGTAATAGTAACTATCCTACAGTTATAATATGGGTTAAATGGCTGGGGATTTAGCTCAGCGCCATAAGCACCTTCCTGGCAAGCAGGAGGTCATGAGTTTGATATCCGGTGTCCCCCCAAAAAAGGGCTGAGTTAGTTATTTAGCACAAAACACTATATTACTATTAGGATTTTCAGTAAAATCTTTTGTGTGCCTGCATATAACTGAGAAAGTTCCTGAGATTGACAATGTATTCAAATGTACACATGACCATAGAAACCCATAAAGAGGATATATGCAGAATGTATTTTAGAGCAACTAAACAGCAAAGAAAAGAAGATAACCTACTTATTGATTTGCAAACATATACATATAGAGAGAGAGAGAAAGAGGGAGAGAGTCTCAGATCTCCTCAAATTATGATGATCTTTAAGATGAGAGCTTCCTACAGAATGACCGAGATATCTAAGCCGCCAGTACAAGAAAGGAACCATTGTAATCCTCATACTTTAATAATAGCCAATTCCACTTTTCCATGAGGTCACTGACATAAAAATTTGAAAACAAGCTTTTGAATAGCAAATTTGTTTTTGATACTTCCATAGGGCTTGAACTTATGTTCAAGCATTCTGCACCCTTAGTGCAGAAAACTTAGCAGCAATCAACCAATTATCCAATATTTTTAACACCCTATAACACACTACTGTACCCTAAAGCACTTGAGAAATGGAAAGAATGGTAAGGCATGAAACTTTTCCTCCAAAAACTGGTAAAATGATGCTTTCAGTATTAATCTAAGAAAGGGCTTTTGCCTGTGAAGTGTATGCGCTTTGTAGACAAATAAAATGGAGATAATCTCATCTGTGTATAGTTTTGTTATCACAAAGCATTTTTATTGTTGCTTGCATGTTGTATTATAAACACTAAAAATCTTAGGTAGGACCACAGATATTATTTCCAAAGCATAGTTTAATTCCCATCCATGCCCTCCCAAATTTAGCCATATCACACATTACTAACTCTGTAAGGCTAATGCAAATTTTTCTGCACTTTCATAGCTATCACATTTTAATAAGCAATAAGTCACATTATTGACGTCTAACATAAAGACAGAGCACCACAACTATCACAATTCATGCTTTTACCAAGATATCAAACTCTAAGAGAATAAAATTTGTATAAACAATGGTCTGGGAGCCTCCTCAAAACCAGTGATGTGAACACGCTCAAAAGCCCTTCAGTTGAGATACGTATCATAGCAACAAGTCCAAATGCTTTGCTAACTCTGCCTCAATGTCATTAATTTCACTCTAAGACATTTTATTGCCTTAGGATTCTTCAACGCATTATACAGTGAAAATTGCTTTCACTTCATCAGTATTCTAAGGAAGTAAGTTTCTAACTCCTGACATAACATCACTTCTTCAGGTAAGCAGAACATGATTATGCTAATGAAATAAACAGAGAAAGAAACACAAAGAGAAGAGTGTAAAATTAAAAATCTGTGAGGGAAAATTGCTGCTTTAAATAAAAATTTGAGGCTAAATCTCTCTGAAACAGAACCAGTGGTATCTGGAAATCATGTATCACAATAATTTCAATTCATTTCAAAGTAGAAACACTTACATAAGAAAAGTCTGCCACTCTCAGTGGCTTACCTCATCATCTTTATACCAGGACAAGCTTTCTGCAGTGAGGACGAACCAGTATCCCTTCGAGCCTCCTTTCATGATGCCAATGTTGCTGATGGTCAGCCACCCCTTACGAATGACCTGCAAGAGAGCAGACACCAGCACAAGTGCTTAGTTTAACATGAGCCAGTGGCCGTGTAAGGTCTTAGACTACGTAAAGCTAAAAATAAGATTACACTGAAAACGGCACTGCCCCCCTCCAAATCTCAACTTCTATTGAGCAACTCAAGAGAATTTATCTTCCAAAAGCACAGGCGACCAGAGGGAAGTCTTTTCCATCAGTGAATAAAATAAAAAAAAATTTGGACTCTTATAGATGGAAGGAGAAAAGTGACTGAAACAGACAGGAATGAAATGAGGCAGCCTAACAGACTTGTGCCAGGCCTATTTATGGCATTGCTGCTACAATTAAAACATATTTAGTTGATTGGGTGAACAATAGACTCTCCATGCGTACCGCCTCTTCTCTCTGTCCAGCCTACTGGCTCATTTGTCTGCCTGGTTTGCAGCTCATTAGAATTTACCGCAGGGACTGGACAGCAAATGGTGAAAAGCAGAAACTCTGGCCAGTTAGCTCCTTGTTAACAGCCATGAATAGGGTTGGTTGAGGGAGAAGACTGAAATAATAAACTAGAATAAAAAAAGTGTGGGGCTTTTTAATGGCTTTGTTTTATCTATCTACTTCTGGTTATTATTTGCTATCCACATAACACATAGCTTCTTCATATGAAAATCTTTAAACAGTTTTCATAATTTGAACCATTAACAACTTGGACCATAGATTTGATAAAATTATTTATAAGAGAAATTTAAGGATAAATGCATTCTCCCCTCACAATTGGGGCAAAGTTATATTGCTTTCATGGGGCATAGTTTACTACAACCTGGAAGCTAGATCATTTGTTGTCTAGAACCAGACATGCAATTCTGTATGGATATTTTCCTAGATGCATCAGACACACAAGCTAAAATATTGTATTTTTTCTTACATCAGGAGCCCAAAATATAAATAAGATTAAGAGCTAAATGTCAATAATTTTCCTATTAACAAAGTCACCTTAGAGATTCTGAAATGCTAAGAATTAGTTATTGCATGACTGATCATCAGTTCCTAAAAAGAGATGAAAATACTCTAACAATCGAAATTTATTTTTACATTGCTATTTTCTAGTTGAAGGAGGAAAGCCAGTCCTAAGGAAATTATGATATAATCCAAGGTTCTCCTTGCTGATCTTCCAGATTTCTCACTGCACTCCTAGACCAAGCCACCCTTAATTCCTTGTTTCAGCAAATGCTCCCTTCTAGCTCTCTGTTGCATTTATAAATCTTCTTAGAGCACCTCTTTCAGACCAAAGCAGACTTCCCCACTGACCAAAATTACACCTTCTTCTTGCTCTCTACTTCAGAAAGAGGAAAATGAGACAACCCAGAGTATAATTTCTACCAGCTCTATTATAATCATTGGATGCTTTCTAAAAATGTAAATTCCTAAACCAACTACTACTCTGAATGAGTTAAACATGAAAACTAGGAATCTATGCTTCACCATATCCCCAAGGTGATTCTTAGTCCATATGGAAGTTTTAAAATGCCTTCATGTATATATCCAATCCATAAAATCAGAATTTCATTTTCTTCAGAACAAATGAACACATCCTGTCTTCAGTATAAAAAAAATCATTTAAATTATTTCACACCAAGGTTATTATCATCCTTCCAGGACTTAAAAATAGCTTACTACTCATACTAAAAATAAGTATACTAATTAATTAATTTCATCTTATTTAGCATCATCTTTAGACATAAGAGCAATTTCCCATATAGTCCACAAATTAGCAGAAGAAAATTACAGTTTTGCATAAGAGTAGAATAGCCTGGCCCTGTCAAGAGGAACCATGGATTTAGTTCATTTCTTCAGAAACTACATATTTCAAAATGAAAACAGGATTTGATGTCACAATCCATGCTTTCAACAATCGTACAATTTAGGGGAAAGGCAACCTCATAAAGACATCATTTCAATGTAATCGTATAGTAAGAGATGTATGCCAACACAGAGGCAGTCAACCAAACTCAAGATGTTGTAATAGACTCATCTTGAGAAGATGATACCTCAGAATATCCTGGAAGGGGAATAGAATTAATCAAGTAGTGTGTTTGCTTTCCACAGAGGAGGATAAACAATAACCAAGTAGGCCAGAGTCACTTAGTGCAGAAAATGAGGATAAAGACATTGAGGTTTGTAGAACGAGGTGAGTGACACAGGAATGGATCCAGTTCAGTGATACCTTGAATTTCACTGATATCAATCCCCAGGAAGTACCAAATATCAGATTCATATTCCTCATTCATGTACATTCATTTAAAAATTCTATATGTGACTACTGTACTCATAAATTTTCTCTGTTATATAAAATACCTGGAGATAAATTTGAAAACATAGTAAGACAGTGAAATAAATAAATAACGTTTTTAACATTCAAAAACTTTGTGGAGGATACAAATTGTGGGGCATTTATCATTTCATTATGAACCCCTTGGTGATACCAGCAGCAGGGCTGCTGTTAATATGTATATTAACAAATCTGAGCTGTTCTCTTAATTTCTATCTTGCTACATCCTCTTGGATATCAATGGGTCTTGCATATTGCCTGGACCAGAGAAACTAGGTCCTATAAGCCACCATAATAACCCAAGTGAGAAATGCTCAATGTGTGACCTAACACCAGAACATATCAGGTTTTTAAAAATGAGTATACCAGAGAAATATGTAGATAATAAAGTCATAGAACTTAACACATGAAGAGAAATGAGCTGATGAAGGGAAAGACTCTAGAACTAGCAGAGGGGCTACTAGCTAAGAGAGAAGCCCAATTTCTGGGCCCCAGTGATTAGCTTCATTTGGTATCTATGATAGTAAGGTATACTATGAATTTGAAAACATAATACAAAAAACTAAAATATTTGATTAATTTTTAAAAATAATTATTGCATGTAAAATGATACTACTTTGTATTGACTGTTAAAATCTATTTTTAAAAGTAAATTCACTTGTTTTATTTTTTTACTGTAGTTACTAAAAATTTTTACATTACATATACAGACTCATTTTTATTGGATAGTGTTGTGTTTTAAAATAGCTGAAATTCTTGGACCTACCATCACTTAAAAACCAACCATTCTAAAACTGCAAGTGAATAAAGGAGGAAGACTAAACTTGAGAAAGTGTGCATGCTGGTGATGAATTCAGCCAAGCTATGTTGAATGTGAGGTACTTGTAGGAAGTGTATATGGAGGTGACCCGGCCTCTGAGGCAAAAGTGTAAGTTAGGACTTGAGGAATAGACTTTCAAGTCCTCAGTACATATAACAGCGTCAAGAGAGCAAGGTTCAAGCTGGAATTTGAGGAAATACAAGAATTTAAAACTACTTTGAAGGCAATAAGATTCACTATGACACCCATTCTGGTTTGACTATCATCTTCTTTTGAAGTCCTGTAATGTCTCCAATGTTTAGGTTTTATTGGTCTCGTTCTGTAGTGTTTTGTTCAATTTTATTATACCTAATGATATAGACAATTCTTTTTAAGGTAGCAAGAGGTTATTACCTGTTTTCTGTTTTTACATCATGTACTATGTCCATCCTTTGTTTTGACTGACTGCTTTGTTTTGTCATATTTGGTTTTATTCTCTTCCAAAAAAAAGAAAATAAGAACTATGGGAGTAATAAAATCCAAAATGTGTAAATGTTGTTGTAAAAAAGAGAGGGAAAAAAAAGTGCTCTAAAGGACACAACTGCAAGTGTGTTTAGGTGTTAAGATAGATGACCATATTACTAAGTTTTTGTTGGATCATTGAACACAACTGTTTGCAGTCTCACTGTTTGAATGTCCACTTTGTATGCTTTAATCCTGTAACTTGAACAACTATTTCTAACATGACAATATGTAATCTATTAACTAGTGATTTCTTACTGATTTTTTAAAATTATGTATTACTTGTACCCTTATACTGTTTTGGGTTTTTTTCTCCTTTAAATAAAATTTTAAAAAAAGAAATCACAAAGGACTGATAATAAATATCAGAGAAGTAATGGCAATAAGGTTATGGAAACCAAGGGCAAGGTGAATTTTAAGTAGTGTATGTTTGGGATATTCAAGTTCAGCAGAGAAAAGGACATTAAGGTCCTTTGTTAGGAAAAGAATTGAGTCTCGGTAGTTTGTATTTGATCTTTCCATTTCTCTTGATACAAGAAGGAATTACATTATGTGCATAGGAGTGGGGGACAGAAGTCAAGAAAAATGTTTAAGGACAGTGGTGAAGAACTGAGATGAACGATAATCGGATGAGAAGGTCAACACAACTAGACTTAGTTTTTAAAAAGCAAAAGGTAAGCCGGGTGTGTCACCCACTTGCAACCCCAGTTTTCTAGGAAGCTGAGGCAGAAGGATCACAAGTTCACTTCCAACCTAGGCAACTTAGTGACACAGTGAAAACCAGTCTCAAAATAAAAATAAAATTGAAGGAGGTCGGGCCGGGTGTGTAGTAGCTTAGTACAAAGGCCTGGTTCAATTACCAAGTACCAAAGCAATCAAATGAACAAATGTTAAGTAATGAAATAAAAGAAAAATATGGAACACTGAAAGGAAGATCAAAAACGTGCATGTCACACTCAGCACTGTTGCATTATCTTTTCTAGGAGCACACTGCACACTCAATGCAGAAAAAGACACACTAAAGAGTTCTGAATTTCTGGACCTAAATGAACCAGGTATATACTTGTAAAGATGCGGAAGATTTGGGACAATAGGATAATTCAAGTGACCAACCATTCGGCCTGACCAGGCAAAGAAGTACGGCTATGATTGGAGGCTGTGGGAATGGCATTAATACAGAGGTAGAAAATGAGAAGATAAATGTACTAGAGAAACCAAGAAAGAGAGAGAAAGAAAGAGACAGACAGACAGACAGAGAGAAGCAAAAGGAGAAGAAATTTTTAGAGTTAAGACGGTACAAAGCAACAAAGTATCCGACCTTACTGGTACCCTTCGATTCACATCTCAAAGATGCACCACTATTTCTG